TTAGGGAGTCGATGCGGCAATGGGTTACAATTTTTTTTTTTTTCTTATACAGATATCAGAGATCACAACGTTTATTTTATTTTATTTTTTTTTTTTGCTCATACACTTACACTTGTAATAAAACTTTACGGTGGGGTCAATGTGAGGTTTTGGAAAGTGGTTGGGGGTCGACAGTTAAAAAAGTTTGGCGACCCCTGGCATATACGCTTCCGTTTTCTTGAAAATGTTAGTCATGTCGCATATCCTATTTTCTTGTTTTATTTCTTTGTAGAATAATTCATGCCAGTGGCCCGGAACAAAGGCCAAAGGCTACTATCTTACGAACTAGATTAAATTTTTGAACAAAAGGAATCTTCTAAATCTTCGATCTATTATGGAGAAAACCTGAATAGAAAATCATATGAATTAAAATATATTTGAAGTAGTAAAGAATGCTAATTTTATTTATTTTGTCTCTTTCGAAAAGATGTGATGAGTCTAATTTATACGACCATATTTCTCATATTCAGCCCTTCAGTTTGTATTGTAAGATTGCTTTAGCGATTTGTCAAATCCGGATTCAGAGGTATGAGGCATGGAATAGTAGTTAATATTGTACTACGTATTTGAATGATAAGCACGTTTTCTCGAAAGTCACGGTGATTAATTTGTTCAGCCAAACGATAAAAATATGCACAAGTAATATATAATTTATTTTTTACATTATATGAAATTGAATTAAGGTGTCAGCCAACTGCTCTGGAAGACAAATACGAAGTAGCTAGATTGTATTATCTACTTAATACAATCTACTTGCTTTTTTCATAGATAGTGTTCTTATCTCTCCATTTTAATATATAATACATCTTCACAGTATCTAGTATTTGTTGTAAGTTAATATATACTGGTACAGTAATACCTTTACTTACGCTACCCCGACTTACGCGAACCCGGAGTTACGCGATTTTCAAATCTCGTCGATTCGTCTTTTATTTGAGCGCCACGCAAACCTTGATTACTCACTCTCCCACACTATTGTTCAGCTTACATGTTCGGACGTGTCGCGCGGAATCGACACATAGCCACAATTTATTTTGTGTTTTTCATTTCTGTGTTTGTTATATCTAGAGACTTGAGAGACTCTATGTGGAGATTTCTTCTAACCGCGAACGAATCAAAAGACGAGATAGGATAAAGAAGAACATTTATTAGCTTACATACATCCGACTTGGGTTTTACACAAATTGCGAAAATATACCCCGACTTACGCGAATTCGACTTACGCGGTTATCGCTCGGTCCCACCTATCGCGTAAGTTCGGGGTATCACTGTATTGATATTAAAAAAATCCACACGGGAAAAATAGAATCGGAGTAACCTGTTTAACTGGTCATTTAATTGTTACCTCTATTATTTTTTGTCGTGTTTATTTTAAAAGCATTCCTAGAACGCGATTATTATGTACAATTTACACATAATACAAAAAAGAATATGTCGAAACTCATTTGTACAAAATAGATATGAGTTACTGAATTAAAAGTGCGAGATAGAGTTGTGTTCTGCTGGTGTAATATGGTTAAATTGATAAAAGTGTATGCATTTTTGTTTCTAGTTAATAATGGGTTTGCTTTAATTAAAATTGACAGTGCAGTCTTTTCTTCATTGACGTAACTTTCCTATCAACCCGATGTCGTCGTTGTCGTTGCTTTCAGATTTTAAGGTTTAATATTGTCACTGTGTTTGGATACACTAATCTTTGTATTTAGTAAAATTTATTTAAACATTTTTATGTAAGTGTTATTAAACTTTTTTTAACTGTAAGCAAGTAATCATTCGTGAAAATGACGAACGAAATACAACGGTATCTGGGTACTCAAACTTTTTTTAACTCGAACAATTCAGTATTCGGACACAAATTCTGGAAAAAAATTCTTTTGAAAAAAATTCTAGACTGAACAAACGCGACCCGCTATAACAAATTTTCGATTACTGTAATGTTAACATATAATACAGTACATTTAATTGTGATTGTTAGTTAATTATTGATTGAAAATAAATTATCGATTGCTTTAGTAAACATATTTTTCTTAGTAACGAAAAAGAATAGTATAGCCTACTTTTGCTAACTTTTGGAACCTAACCCCATGTTTTGCATTAGTCCTTTGTTTCGTATAGCAGGAATTCGCATAACACGACACTTTTTCGGAACGTAACTACCGTGTTATACGAGGAATAGCTGTATAAGTATATACAGGTATATATTAAGGTATACATACTAAAGGTACTGTACATAGGCTTATATATAAATAATACATTAAATTAGATTCACGTTAAGAATATCAAATTTTCATAACTAAAGTGTAATTTTTATATTTTGTATGATTTCGTGCTCAATAAAGTATAACAATTATATACTTTTTATATAAAATACGAAATTTAAACTAATGTAAAATTTTTTAGTGATTTTGTTGTGTGCTATAAATTTTTGTTACATATTCAAAAAGAAAAAAAACATTATAAATATAAATGGAATAGACTTCTATTTTATATGACTTCATTGGTTCCTATAAATCAATCCGACGTTTTTCTTTTTGTTTATTCTCTCCAATTGGTAATACTGTTAACACATTGCAATCACATGACATCTAGTCAATATGATACTAAGAATAAATATAAGTAGTTCTTGTAGAAACTGCCAGGTAATTCAGAGGCCAGATTAGCATGAGTGTATTGTAATGTTTAATATTTTAATCTTTAGATAATGCAATTAATATCGTCTAATAACTAGCTTTTTAAAAATAATGCAATTACTGATATTTTTTTAATAAAATAACTCTTACAAAATATATGAACTTTACATTAATGCAAGAGATGGGCAAATATCACTTTACTTGAATTCAAATATCGAATTTGAATATTAATCACATCTCGAATATGAGAATATTTGAATACCCCTAATACAGTATTAGGACTATAGGGAACTAGTATTGTTTTATTTCATATTTACATATATATACTGAATACATATATATATATATATAAATGAGAATGTTTGTTTGTATGTTTTCTATACATTCCTAGACTGCTCGACCAATTGCTACGAATCTCGGCAGTTACGTTTACATACTTCTAACTTTGATAATGTTATACCCCACCCCAAAATAGCTATTGAAATTTTGTAAATCAATTAATTTACATCTATATTCAATTTGCTGATTTACACGTAACGCCATCTATTGGCAAAAATTTAACAAAATCATAAACTAAATACTGTATAATGCTTACAAAAAACATATAATTTTAAATATATATATATATTACGTTCACTTAATTACTGCAAAAGAAGGCATATAGCACTCGGACTTTTTCATTTCTGAACGATACTTTCTTAATTAATAAGTGCCCTCCAGTAGTCGAATGGATAAAAGCACCGAACACCGATAGTTAGTTTGTCGTGGGTTTTGGCATGGCCACGGATTGGCTACGTGGAGTTTTTCAGATATTCTTAACGTTAGTATGATCTAAATCAGGAGTCCCAAACTTTTTTCACAACGAGCCAGATGTGAGGTTTGCCGATTGGGGAGAAAGTGTCGCGACAGTACTGCACTGTCGCACTGTCAGCACTGTCGTGTGGGAGTGAAAAAACTTACTGAGACAGGTTCTCCATCGTATACGATTTAGTAAATATAAAAATTTTTCTTACAACTACTGTTTTTCTTCGGCGTAAGGCCTATCCGCAGAGTGAATCAGTTCGTAAATAAAGTTCAATCTTTTCGACGATCTTCTCTCCTTCTGGCGAAGATGATGAGAAAAACATAGGCTCCGGGGCGCACAGCACAACTTGAAGGGGTGATTCTCATAGCAGGTTAACTTGGCGAAACTTGCCCGGACGGGATGGCGAAAACTTCTTCCGGAACGACGACCAAGTTTCCGTTCTTGAATCGCAAGAAAAATCCAGGAGCGGAGCACACCGAACTAAGAGTTCGGTGTGCTCCGCTCCTGGAACCAAGAACGTCACATCCTTTTTTTGCGCGGTTTTTATAAGTTTTATAAGTTTTTTCTAGGTCCCAGATCGAACATTCCGATAGGTCGATGCCGATCTACCCCCGCTCTCTATTTGATCCCCCTACCCGTTACGAATTGTAACGAGATCGGAGCCCAGATCACGGGGTGAGTCAACACCGACTGACAATTTGATTCCTATCGAAGATGTTCGATCTAAACACTCAAATTCATCTATTGTTTTAACCTGAGTAGTTCGACTTTCTTAGAAANGAACAGACGATACTAAACTCAATTTATCCGCCTAAACGTCCGTAGCGTGGCGCTACGGACGGCGGGAAAGTAGTTCGGCTGCCCAATGACGTTTTACGTATTATAGGAGTTATTTTTACCGTTGTTTACGGATACTGCCACAATTTTTATAGGAATCATAACTATAGGAAACGGTTTTATAGGGGGATCTACTGTACTGCCACAATTTTTATAGGAATCATAACTATAGGAAACGGTTTTATAGGGGGATCTACTGTACATTTTTTATCACTTATCAAATAACATTATAGTATTATTATATGTAATGCACAAATTTCTTTTTCCATGATAACTCCTTCTATCGAATGTTCTCTTAAAAATAAAAAGGTAGGTACAATTAGGGATTTAAATAATAATCACATATTCAGATTTACTTGTATTCAGACCTTTTTTTACCAGTTTCGTGAACATCACTTATTTCCAAAAGCTGCTTTTCTTTCCTTGTGCGTAAATTAATACAAAGCCAAACATAAATATGAAAATAATACGGTGTTAATAATTTAGATCTAAATTATTTTGGAAGCTGGTTAAATTTATATATTTTTATTTATATTTACTTAATTTACATAAATTATTAATAGTAAATTAGCTAAGCTGCTGGAGTACTTTTTCCGTTCAAATTTTGTACAATTCGAAAGACGGAGAATTTCTATAATTTAATGCAATTAATCAATTTGTAAAGTAGCATAAAAAAACAATTAACTCACACTATATCAGAAATTCGAGGATCAGGTCTGCAGTGTCTTACTGAATTTACTGTTCTAATTAAGTAAGTACAATCTATTAAATTAAAATAAATTACATTAGTTTATTCGTTAACAATAAATGATTACGTATTCGATGCTTAATTGAGTTTTCTGAAGAAAACTACCATAAAATTAAATGTAAAAATTATTCAATACAATTAAATATTAACAGTTCACAAATTATACAATAGTCAGCCAAATAATGTTTTGTTTCATGTGTTTCTTGTACTGTACAATTGTGAATATGCATTGTAAACCAAATTTAGAATAATGTAGTTTTCTTTTACAAATTATTAGAAATATGTTTAAATAGACAATTAGGAATATTCAGTTAATTGAAAAATATCTAATTCAAATATCTTATTTAAATAATAGCGATTTATTTTGAAAATGGTTTACACTGGTGATACTATTCTGGTAAAATAGTATCACCAGTGTAAACTAGTATTCTACAAGAACTACCTTGACGTACTCAACTCCATCACAACTGATTCTTAAAGATTATGATATAGATTTTTACAATACAGTGGTACCTCAGGATACGAACGCCCCAGCATACGAAATTTNTAAGTTTATCTACAATCTATGATATTTCCATATAAATAATTATATTTTAGCTCATTTGTGGCACACTGCGGATAAACTGATCTTGCGGGCCATAGTTTGGAGACTCTTGATGTAAATAGAAGCCAGCTTTACATAAAAGTTCTTCTGAGATGCAGATCGCTCACATGTCGCGTTATAACCAAATAAAACAAACTAATTCTAACAAGCGATTATTTATTGTGACATCATCATAATCAACGTAATACGAGGTTACCGCCTGCACAAAATATGTTTTAAGCGGTTTTCGAAGGTTCCGAGTTTAAATATTTGGTCCATCTTTCACAAAATTTTATTGATTGGCAGATTATGTTTGATATTTTGCTTTAAAGGGCACAATTTCTTACAGTTAACATTAGGTAAAATATATTAAATTTTTAAGATATCATATTGTATTTTCAATTGGTGTCTGTAAAATTTATTTAAACATTTTTATGTAAGTGTTATTAAACTTTTTTTAACTGTAAGCAAGTAATCATTCGTGAAAATGACGAACGAAATACAACAGTGTCTCGATATTCGAACACAAATTCTGGAGAAAACTCTCTGGATACTGGATTGAACAAACGCGACCCGCTATAACAAATTTTCGATTACTGTAATGTTAACATTTCGTCATTCATAAACATTTTTTTATGATAAAAATAAAAATAATTAAATGTTGCTGATACTTCAGATCAAGATCAACAAAAAAGCAGAGATGACAATACTTTGTAAAAAGAAAACGCTCTCGTTTAACTAAAATTAATATTAACGTGTGATACAGTAGTCTACTTTTAACTGTAATTTTTAGTTAATTATTGATTGGAAATAAGTTATCAATTGCTTTAATAAGCACACTTCTCTTAGTAACGAAAAAGAATAGTATAGGCTACTTTTTCTAACTTCTGGAACGTAACCCTATGTTTTGCATTAGTCCTTTGTTTCGTATAGCATGGATTCCCATAACACGACACTTTTTCGGAACTTAACTACCGTGTTATACGAGGGACACCTGTACAAATAATAATACGTATTCATCTGGTATAAAAAGGTAAAGTACGAAAATAAAGTGCATTTAGGATTAGTTCCAGTAAAGGCAGTAGTGTTGAAATTAAATAATCCTACTAATCCTATTTTTCGCATAAATTTTCTATCGAATGAAGCTACAAAGTCTACAGTTTAAACTAGAAAGACTCCATATAACGACTTTAAATTGTAAAATATTTTTGTTCTGTTTTAATTGTGTCTTTTCCAAGTTTATTTCGGGTCAAATAAACCCTAAAGATTAAATGTCGGCTATTTTAAAACAGTCGAATTTAATGTCGACGGTTCGCCTACTTTAAAATGTAACTTATCGATTTACGATCCAGGAAAAAGGTTACGCCTCTAACTCCTCTGCTGTAATTACAAAAATCGCAGTTTGCGCAGTTTTTACTGATTTAGAAGAGTATAGACTCACTTATTTTCTAGGTAAGTAGGAACGTTTAAGACGGTCGCAAGATCTTCTACTTCAATTTCGACCACGTCTCCTTTTATCGATTCCACCGTTTCAGACAATTTTTCGGTTGTTTTTATCAGATCCTGGAGATCAGACNAAAAAAATATATATATTTTATTCGAAATAAATATCTTAAATGAAGCTTTATTTTAAGTCTTATTCCTTAAATTACATTTCGAGTGAAGAAACCTACATATGATAAATTATCGATGAATAATTTGAATAAAAGTACAGTATTTTAAATTCGTAAACCAAATACAAGTGATATTTTTAAATTAATATCTACAATAGAACATATGTTCCTATTTCAATCCCAGACATTCATTCCACATAGTTTATGTATAAAAGAACTATATACAGTTAAAATCAAATGATTATCATAAGTTAATAGAAAAAATTCATAGTTTTCTGACCTAAAAATCATATTCAGTGGACAAGGGCATCCTCAGAGAGGTAACGTGCCTTGGTATCAAGTGAAAAATTCCACAAAATATAATTGTAAAAGTGACTGAGATAAGTAACCTTATACCCTCGATCATGACTATTCTATGGATTATAGAAAAAAATCTATAGAATAGTCATGTGAAATCCATCTGTGAAAAACCCGAAAATTTAAATAATTAAATAAAAATTTATTAGTCTGTAAGCTTTGCCTATCTGAAGAAATTTTCTGGCGGAGCACCTGTCAGAGGCACAAGAAATGGTTTAATAGAATCTTTTGCCATTACAAGAAAACAAATTCCAGTAAAACAAAACTACTGTACTTAAATATCAATTAAATATTTTACTTTTGTTCTATTTTGTTTACTATAAAAAAAGTAATTAAAAGAACTTACAACGTTAACTTTATTTTGTATGTTTTTGCTAACTTTATTCATAATTACATTATTGCTAGAAATTAATTATTATTAACGTTATTCTTTATTACTCAATATCTCTGTTAATATCATCATCATCTAAAATTGTTTCGTTATTAGTTTTAATTATGAGTAAAAATAATAAATTATGTATTTTCTAAAATAAGAATTGAATATAATTTATATTCATTCTCAAAAAATCAATTAAACTCTCCCTTTGTTTAATAACCACGCATGAAATTTATATCCATTACTCTAAAACTGTATTTGTATACCTATTGGAGTATCATAATTGGAATCATACATAGACTTATTCATTTATTTACGTTTTAGTCCTTAAGTATCAAATACAGTTAACTAAAAATATTTTCCAAAATATTTCTATTGATTTAAATCATTGAATATCATTATAAAAATACATTTTTAAATAATTTTAATCAGTCATGTAAAGCATCATACCTGAAGGAATACAGTCATCAAATTCAACGCGTGGCTTATATTTTGAGCATATTTGAACTGATACCGTTGCATTACTTTTGAACTGGTAACCATCATAACAAGTAGCTCGGCAGAAACTAAAATTATCAAAACATAAAATGTTATTATTTATTATATTTTAGAAATTAATATATTTAATGCATATAGTATAAACATGTCATATGTTCTAAAGCTTACTTGCGTATTGTCGAAAATACTAATTTATGCGCAAATTTGTTTAATCAAATCAAATTATACTCGTAATTATATAATAATTTAATAAAAAGTACTTTCGAATAATGCTTACATATTTTTCTGGTTAATAACACATTCCATTGATTGCTGTTTTCCTTGTCTAGTTTTTTTACATATTTTTTCTAAATATCAATAGAATAAATATTAGTCAATATATAAGATAAGATAATTCTGTCTCTTCCAAATAACACACAAAAGTCATACCACAGTCAGTAAAAGCTTTCCTACTTTGGTATAGTGTGCATACTTTCGTAGCTGTTCTTGAACCGTCTTCGAACATATATCCAAAACTACAAGTAGCATTGCACACTCTTAAATGATAAATATTTATGTTTAGAAATGAGTTATATACCAGTTATATTTTATACTTATACCTGTAATATAGTGAAAATATAAACTTATTTTCTACCTATATTAGACAATAAATAAAAATAGTTATCTAAAAATATAAATAAAAATTAAACAATTATTGTGACATCGTGACAATTCTGGATTACAATTTTCAATCATGTTTTAATTTAATGAATGACGTGATTTCCGGACCAGGCCGGAAGTTCGTATATAAATAATCGGGACTTCCTCTAGTAAGCTTTTCATATCTGGTGTCGATTTTCCTCTTTCTAACTCCGTTCTCGAGATTAAAGAACGATGTACGGACAGAGGTACAGACAAACGATAGTGAGAATCTATAAGTCTGCAATTTGAAAGCTGCAACTCAATAATTTATTTTTCATGAAGTAACTTACACGATACTTTTAAGATTTCATGCAATTTCGAAATGAATATATAGAGTCAAACTAGCAATTTTGTCATTCATTCTTTTTCCATTTTATTTTTTATCTGTTTATGCTAAGACTTTGTTAAGAAGTATGAAAATTAATGTTTGTTTTTATTCGTTTTTTATCATGTTCAAAATGATCAATTCATGGTATGTGTAACACGGGGATAACTGATGAAAACGGACATTTCTGAATGTTTTTGTTTAATATTTGTCTCAAAAAATGATTGTTATCCCCGTGTAAATATCATGAATTGGTCATTTTGAACAAGATAAAAAAAAACGAATAAAAACAAACATTAATTTTCATACTTCTTAACATACGACATAGCCTATGCAGAGTGATTTTAAACATAAGCGAAAAACTACAGAAATTGATTCTGCGAATAATTTCAACCATAAAATAGCTTATGAACATAGGTTCAAAACGGCATAAGTTTAAACTAACATAATGGGAACTAACAGCAACATAATGCAAACTAACAAGATGGGAAACTAACGTAAACTCGGGTTATGGGCTTAAGGTTAATATGTGAGGACAATTAAACGCGTGGCCAATCAATGCGTGAATCTCATTCACACCTAAAGTTCAGAACAAACCAT